ATACAGGTGCATGGACGAAACGTACTCATTGTCCCAGGAAGTAATGGAACATAAAAAGTTTTGGGTCAGGTTTACAAAATATATTGCTGTACTTCTTGTTCCCAGGATACAACTATATGGAACTATTGTCAAATTAAACCCCAAGCTATATCTAGAGTGGAATTGGTGCCGATACTGTGGAGTACAGACCATATCGGTAGAGACATTTGAATTGCGATGAGGACATTCCTGAAATTCTTGAAATGGAAATATGGTTCAATAAATGTTTGTTTGTTTGTTTGTTGTTAAACGCCGCAATATTCCAGCTATATGACCGTGGTCTCTAAATAATCGAGTCTGGGCCAGAAAATCCAGTGATTGACACCATGAGCATCGAGCAATAGGGATACGATGACATGCGTCAGCGAGTCTGACCCCCTTATCCCGTTAGTCGCCTCAAACATAGTCGCCTCTTACGGCAAGCATGAGTTGCTGGAAAACCTGCTCTTACCCGGACCTTCACGGGTATCAATATATGAAGTGACACGTGTAACATGTATATCCCCGGCAGCTAATGTAAACTGTTTAGTTCAAAACATGTCAATTATATCCGTCAATGAACACGCGGAATTTCACGCAGAAATGATAGTACATTTTGTAATCATCTGCGTATCAATAGCGTCGATAGCAGTGACTACGAGTACAAGCGGGCACTGTCAAAACAGAATTGTAGGCTAGATGCTGTACATGTTTCTAATATGAATTCAATAACAATTTAAAACACCCGTGATATGTTTTCCCCGTCCCTAGTGTGTTCAGCTCCGAACTCTCTTCCATATTTCTATTACAATGTTAACATTTTATTTGTTTGCATGTTTAATGTAATTTGAAACAGCAAGCCCCTGTCTAACATATTTTACTAATGATAGGTGATGGCTGATAATAAACCTTTAAATTGATGGAGAAAACCTTTGTACGTTGTCACGAAATGGACAGTTTCGTCTGATCATGTCGGGTCTCCGCTCGGATCAAGGTTCTTATTCGTGAAACCAAAAACACTATTGTTAAGTTGTGAACGGAATAATTATCCCAGAGAATTGAATGTTTTAAGGACAAGTTTACAATAACGTTTTGTTTGACTGCGTTTTACTATGGGACAGCCCGCAGCTCTGTGTATCAAAGTCATTCAGTACAGAGATACGGTTACTGCGGCTAGTCTTTTACGTACTGTTTGACTTTTCCAATTCTCATATGATTTAGGAAGTTGTAATGAAAATCTGACATCATATTGCATTATGACTTTATATTCGGAGCAATGTAAATATAAAAATGAAGGCTTTTATCTTTTTCAACCCTGTTAATTATCCTAATCTTTATATCCAGTAAACACATCTGACCATGTTCGAACAAAAGTGTTTCACAAAGGGATATGTGTTTTGACATTATGTTTTCATGCAGACTTTTTTACTGAATGGGTTGTGTAAATGTTAATACAACTTGGAAAAATTCTTTTTCAGGACATATATGTTTAGAGTACAGTGAAAATAGAATACACAAAATTCTAAAATACTATAATTGTATTGTGTAAAAAAGTCAGAATTGTAAGATCAAATCAAGCGCAGAGCGTTCAAACGTTCAACTGACATTTTAAAGGGTTGTTTTATGAATTTCATATTAAATTCCACTAATTGGCATTCTAGATGTTGGTCAGTAAGTAAGAAAACATACAACTTTCTGGATAACAACCTCTGGTTTATTGCATTTGTCAACCTTTCGAAGTAGATTCTTCTTCAACCAAGACATAATATACCAAAGGTAATATATGCACTGAATGTTGTACTCACTCTAGCCTGATACCGGTGGAAGAATCTACATCGAAACATCTCTCAATGCGCTATGCTCATGATATTAATCACTTGATTGCCTGGTCCAGACTCGATTATTTACAGACCGCCGTCATATAGCTGGAATATTGCTGAGTGTGGCGTTAAACATCAAACCAACCAACCAATCTAAGCCAGAAGTTGTTATCCATAAAGTAGTATGGTGTTTTTTTAAAAATTGAAACCAACGCATTGTTCATCTTTAAGTAGAATATTACTTAAATAAGAATACATAATAGAAGTTTAAGTTAAATTACATGACTTCACAACTTTTGGGCTTGAAATTAGTGAACAAGAAGATGTAATTCGGGATTCGAATCCCGATTCGCCCTGTCTATGTATCCACGTTTGTCAGCACCATACCCGGACCGGGTTTCGCCAAAATAGTAAACGTCTAAAACTTACATCACTGACTGACTGATTTATCATTGAGCTTTTCAACTGTTGCATTCAGAAGGATCCGATATAATGTTATCTGTTATAAATGTGTGCTTGTGCACTTCTGATGTTTGAACTGAATACATTTACCTCCCCGCTAGGGAAATGAGTTTTGTGATATAAGTAAACTGTCGGGCAAAAGAAAGTAAACACTAGCTAAAAATGAAACAAACAAAAAGTGGTTTTTCGATGGAGATGTATTTCATATGGGTATCATAGCTATGTCTTGGACCCTCAGTTAGTGTTTCGGCGACTGTTTCCGCAAAGTAATGTTTTGGGTCCGATCCAATTTCCATGTGTATACTTTTTTGATCCGACAGTTTATATTCCAAGGGATGTGGGTGAGTGAACGTTGATTAACGCGCAGTCACAATACTTCTTTAAAAGTCAAGTTTCCACCTTTGCCGAACTAGGCCGGAATTTCTACACCCGACGTACGAATGTTGTTCACGTGCATGTAATCTGAACGCTTTTAGTTTCAAGGACGAAATTTTGCAGCAAGGCCCTCTGCCATTGACGTCCAACGTGAGATTTGCAACATGATAACGCCAGGCCGCACACGGATCGCGTCACGGGAGCCTTTTTAGGCAATAACAAAGTGTGTTTCCTTGGCCATCCAGATCGCCAGATTTGAACCCAGATGAGAATCTTTGGGATGAACTTGGCCGACGTCTACGACGTCAATCACAGCCTGCAAAACTTCGTAAACTGGCCGACCACTGCATGATGAATGGTGAAGGATTCCTCGGCCAGAATTCAGAGACATATACAGTCAATGCCTAGACGTTGCCCTGCGGTTATGCAAACACGTGGTGGTCATAATAGATATTGAACTTGACGTTACCACTGACCATCTGCACGACATCCCTGTGTTATAAAATCAGGAACATTATATAGAACAACTTTGTTGCTCCAATTGTGTGAAATTTCATGTTTTACAGAACAGTTGTTCATTCCCTATCAAGATTTAAAATAAACACTTTAACGGTTTAAGTTTATTATGAAGCGCACATTTTATTGTGCGCTTACGGTATACCTATTTTACCGTTACTAAATAGTGTATGCTTTGATTGCAACGTCAGTGGACAAGCAACATCAGACCAGTATCGTGGCTGGAGCTTCTAAATGCTTCTGGCCTGGGAAGATCCGGGGTAGAATAGGTCTTCAGCAACCCATGCTTGCCGTAAAAAAGGCGACTATGCTTGTCGTAAGAGGCGACTATATGGATCGGGTGGTCAGGCTCGCTGACTTGGTTGATGCATGTCATCGATCCCAATTGCCTGGATCGATGCTCATGTTGTCCATCACTGGATTGTCTGGTCCAGACGCGATTATTTACAGACCGCCGTCAAATAGCTGGAATACTGCTGAGTGCGGCGTTAAACAACAAACCAAAACAAACAAAGATGTTCCTATATTTCATGTAATATCGCTGTAATACGAGTCCTGTAAAGAACACGAACATGGATATTCTTATCATTAGAGAAAATTAGTATTATCAGTACAGCACACGATATTATATAGTGCGCTCACATTAAATCAATTTGAAATAAACCAAATCAACGCACAAAAGAATACATTGTGTCCACAGGATAAAAGTCATTTCGAGTGTCCCTTACGGGTCTCTGCAAACCAATGAGCTGAGAGTTTGTTGGCGTTTTGTTGACCGATATTCTATGCGAACAAGATCAGAGGACCTGGATATATTGCCAGTGCTGCATTTGGCGTCGTGGTATCATTACCACTCGCCTGTTTTCGTAACCGACAACAAGCCCCGCCCAATAACTGATCGATGTACTTGCGAACACGACAAACTCATCAGTATGGGTATAGTACTTCCATCGAAGCAAACCGGCGTTAAACAAAACTCACTCACTCACTCTATCAAAGAACCAATACTCAGTATATTAGATTTCATTTTTAGAGATACTTTGGTCTAAATTATACCATAGCAGCCGTTACAAGTATTATACCTAACAGAATATTACCGAAAATACATACTTGTTGTAAAAAGAAAAAAGTGCCACTTGACAAAGCATATCCACGAATCAGTTCACTGTGTATTCCGTACGTCCGCTTGCACTAAGACGGAGCTAAAATTGCAGCATCGTCATTCGGCTAGTCTCGGAAAGCAACGAGTGGTCACGAATGACACAATTGGGTTAAAACTGAATTAAAATATTACAAGTGATTCCGTGATATTTGATTGTCTAACAAAGCATTTTTTGCGTTTTTGTTTCCATAAACCGAAAAAATGATCAAACTCACTGACGCACTACTGTTTGTTGATTGGCTGACAATATAATGGAATGGATGGGGTCTGTGATGCCATATTGCGCTGAAGTATGTAAGCGAATTCGTACTGTTTTCTACGTTTCTTGTGTGTTTTTGATCATACAAGCACTCTGTGAAGTTATTATTGTGGACCTATTTATTTTTAAGAGTTGACTACAAAATGTTCTTGCGTTTATGGAGTCACAACGTAAAAACCGATGAGACCACTGCGTAAATCCGCGTATGCACCGGTATGTACATTGTATGCACATCTCATAATCACCAAAAAAAATTGCAGTCAATTCTTAACCAATATGGTGCACTACACCATATATGCTGAATTTCCATAAAATATAGTGGTTGTATACAGCCACCTGACGAGGGGTCTCATAATTCGAATTCAAGACATTCACACATTCAAAGAAGTCGCATTTGATATCCTTTATTATCTTGACTCGCCGTTTAACACAAAGTCACATCACGAGAAACGGTCCAAGCAGGGGTTGATTATAGCTGTATAACGTAAATTGGCTCGATGTCATTATCTCGACTAACACAGCAACTCATTCCCTTACTCGAAACAACCACTTGCAATGTTTAGACCCCTTCCTTTCCCAAACCGAGTAGCGGTTACCATGGCAACGACGGTACATACTGATATTTAACTCCAAACTTTCTTGTATCATCGTTTGCATATATAACCCCAACCATCGTGCTTGTCGAGATAAAAACATAAAATGGGTTTGGGAGTTCGATACGGATATTTGTCCTCTGTTCGAGTAAAATAAAAACATTTGACAAGTTTGGTATTTTACTCGCACGAAGGCTGCAATGACGTACCCAACTGACCCACGCATGGTTACTTATATAATTAGCTACTCTTTTCCGACCTCTTTCACATTCCGAGGCAGACGTCGTTGTCATGAGTTACCTCCCTTAACTATCTGCACAAAGGGAGACAACTCTCACACACACCAAAATATTAGTCACTTGAATAGTTGTAGCCCAACACAAAGTCCATGCTTCCAGCAACAGTAGGGCCATCTCGGGGAATGTTGCGTCGTACACCACCAAGGGTCACGTGGAAATGATAAAGAAGCCGACGACTGCTCGGCGACGTCATGTGACGTCATGCACGTGCCGGCAGTCAACTGGACGGGAATGTGCACCAAGAAGACGTCACACGGAGTCATGTGACAAGAGCCATTATGCATGATAACATTTGAGTTAATCATAGTATCTAAGTACCAATCTTCACCAGCTGTATATTCCATTCGGGTACTCCCAAGTTTGTGAACATCTGATCTCGTGAATTCTCACGTCGCCTCGGCGTACGCGTGGAACACCGTAGTCGTCACTGCGCAAACTCCAACTGACCGGAAGTCCTTTCTGGTAGAGCACACATAGGGGCAGGATTGGGCGGCAGTAGTCTGCGGTCAGCCGGACCCCCATTGCGGCGGTTCGTACGTGTCGGGGATGACTCCCATCATGAGCAGGACATTCTTGAACTCCGCAAATTCTATCACATGGTTTTCTGAAATGAAGATATCGTAAATTGAGTCAGAGAATATGGATATAAACGTTGTTTTCAATGAAGAGTTAACTGTACACGGCACTTAATATGCAGGCACACATAAACTGCCAAGACCAAAAGAAAGTATACAGCCATGTTTGATGTTGGTTAAAAATTAAATAAACAAGAAAAGGATCTTTGATGGTGATGTATTTGATACAAGTATCATAGTTATGTTGTGGAGCTTTAGTTTGTTGTGTTTCGGCGACTTATTTCAGACTAGTGAGGTTTTCATAACGTTTGTAATTTATTGGTCAAATCCAATTGTCAAGTGTATACTTTCCTTTGCATCGCTGTTTACTTTGAACAGTCGAGAAAAATCATTATTTTATAACCGACACATGCTTGTAGCGTTAGTTGAAAGTTCTGACCAGGACTAAGAAAGTCCTATATTTGCTATTTGCTCTGGTACGACGAGCAAATCGGATGTTTTAATCAGAAACATGTTATTGTAATTTGAAACCTCTGATTGCCTTATCAGACAGGAACATTAGCCAAATTCACAGTGGAATGTTGCAACCAATCGTATTCATATTAATGAGTGTATGATAAACATGGTGGAAACAATCACCAAATCATGTCGAGAGTCTGTCTCGCTCATTCAGGAAAAAAGCCATTATCGATTATCCTTTGTATTATATTTCAATTATGTAAGGGTCAACCCACTGAACTCATTCTCTACCATAGCTTCGTTTGAAAAGTGAAGACTTTATCCAGTCTTGTTGCCATTGTGAAATGTTTTATTTTGTGAGATTTTGTGATATTTATTTTGTGCGGCTATAGCGGGAAACCATGTAAGCTGTAGTTTGATTCGTCGGTTATTTTTAGCCTCGTGTCAGTCGAATAAGAATTAAAAAACGAAGCCACGCTAGCCATTGTGTTCAGGTAACTGATAAAAATTGATAATTAATTCACCGGATAATCGAGGATTGCGTGATGAAGTTAAATGGAAATGCATTCGTGGCATTTTTTCAGTCGACGAGATAAACACACAAGTTAACAACAAACACAGAAGCAGCCAATGGGTAAACAACAAGACCAACAAATCCACTTCTTGATCGGTAGTGCTGTCAGCGGTAGGGTTATTTTTCAAAGCCAATAAACATTAAAACCTATGTGATGTTTTATTTTCGTTGCACGCGTGTAAAACATATTGAAAACAATAAACCTTAACAGCCACACATCGACATGGGTACAAACAAGATCGGACATAATGAGTTTATATAGTTTAATGTTGATGTTATACAATAAAGTAGCTCAGAAGAACAACACAAACACAGTGTGAAATTATAAGGGATACACTTTAGTGCTCAGCACCGAATCCCTCTAGGAACGCAGATAATATCCCACCTCACTGGCCTGTACAACAAAGGCAATAAAGGTTCATTACGTCATCTAGTTTTTCACATTAACACAAATCCCTAAGGCATGGATTATTGCTTTATATCATTATTTCTAGATTACATAAATAATAAGTTGTCCCCATGAAAGACTGGCGTTCTTAGACTGTCCTCTTATCTAGACTTTGCTATTACAAGGATGAATTTACTCTACACCCCTGGACGTGTCATTCAGTACTTAGTGCAAGGCTAACAAAGACACAAATCTTGCTATGAGTGAAAGCACATCGGTTCCACAAACGCCAGGCATTAATGTTCACATTGAAGCCGTGCAAGCGCGATCTTGTCTCGAGTGTGAGAGTTGTCTCCCTTTGTGTAGATAGTTAAGGGAGGTAACTCATTACAACGACGTCTGCCTCGGAAGAGGTCGGAAAAGAGAAGCTAATTATATAAGTAACCATGCGTGGGTCAGTTGGGTACGCAATTGCAGCCTTCATGCGTGTAAAATACCAAAATAGTCAAATGTTTTTTTTAACTCTAACAGAGGACAAATGTCCGTATCGAACTCCCAAGCCCATTTTATGTTCTTATCTCGACAAGCACGAAGGTTGGAATAATATATGCAAACGATGATATAAGAAAGTTTGGAGTTAAATATCAGTATGTACCGTCGTTGCCATGGTAACCGCTACTCGGTTTTGGAAAGGAAGAAAGATCTTGTCTGTCTTTTTTTAACATGCCCTCGTATCATTTTAACGGAAGGAAGGGGAAGTAACTCTTCTGACGTGCGACGTATCCCTCATGGAAAACCGTTCACTTATGGCGTGCCCTTGAAGTGTACTTCAAGCAATATGTCGTGTATTGATAGGGCGAAGACAAGGGTTGACTTGTACCAGGATCATTATCATTACTACCGGGATCACTACCATCATCACTACCTCCACCATTACCACCGTCACTACCAACCAGTGAAGATACGGGTTAGGATGGATCTTAAGCAACCCATGCTCATCACAATGTGGCGGACCCGTCCAGATCCGGGGTAGAATAGGTCTTCAGGAACCTATGGTTCCCGTAAAAGGCGACTATGCTTGTTGTTAGAGGCGACTAACGGGATCGGATGGTCAGGCTCGCTGACTTGGTTGATGCATGTCATCGTATCCCAATTGCGTGGATCGATGTTCATGGTGTCAATCACCGGATTGTTTGGTGCAGATTCGATTATTTACAGACCGCCGTCATAGAGCTGGAATATGGTTGAGTGGGGCGTTTAACAACAAATAAACACATTTAGCGTTACCGAACCGCACAAAAATGCACCATTGACGTATCAACGCACCGTAGACGTCTACGAGATTCATCACTTCCGGTATTCCTCCAACAAACTGACACACTTGAAATACGGCTCTAGCCTCACACGCTCGGTAGGGAAGCCTGGTTGTCAAATATAAAACGTCAAAACCAGAGAACAATCTGTCTCGATTATCTGCCGTAAACCCATTCATTGGGCGCGTTAGAAGTAAAATAGTGGTGACATTTATATGAAAGGATCTCTGAAAATCTGTGATGACAACAGGAGTCCGCGAAAAGCAATGATCGCTTGTCACACCGAAGGCCCAGGTTCGAATCCCCACATGGGTACAATGTGTAAATCATATTTATGGTGTCCCTCAGCCATGAAATTGCCATCTTCCCGAGGCAAAGGAGTTAACTGACTATAAAAGTCCAGTTTCCACCCTTGCCGAACTAGGATGGTATGATGGAGTTACGTTTTGTCTGGACTAACGAGTCTATGCATAGTCCAATCAAAATCGCGCACCGAAATCAAAATCCGGTTCGTAAACTGTCGTGCAGATTTCGATCGATTGCAGGGTTTGCAAAGCATGTGCATCGCCAATTCGTTGTCAGCAGCTATTTTCCAAATCCTTTCATGTTTTTAATCAAGGTGCTCACGTGATTTCATGCATTTCGCGATGTAAGACCCGTTTTATCACAATATACATCTTGATTATCGATCAGATCGTCCTGACTGGGCGCCACCATTTTGTGTGAAGCAAACGCAAGTGATACGAAAGGTGGAATCTGATTGGTCCATAGGAGAGGCTTAGAAGGGACATAATTGGTAATAGCCACTGGTGGCGCAACGATCGAGCCCAGTAATTCCAGCCTAGTTCGGCAAGGGTGGAAACTGGACTTTTAAAGTCAGTTAACTCCCTTTCCTCAGGAAGATGTGAAATTGCTGGAATATTGGTAAAAGCGGCGTTAAACCATACTCACTCACAGACACAGGGCCCCGCTCCTCAAAGCCATCCTGGAGCTACGACTGTCGTAAGTCTATGCTAAAGTATGGCAGTTACGATCATCTTAGCGCTAAGATCGCTTTGTGAAGCGGGGCCCAGACGTACAGACGAGCAGATAAATCCTGTCACCTCGTTTACCCAACAGTCCCCCAAATTCAACAATGATATGACGACGAACTGACTAATTCGTCTCAAAACAACCATGGGTGAATCTTTACTGAATATTGTATTGATGCACGCGGTGTTGAACAGTCTGTAAAAATGGCATGTAAACATAACCTCACGTCCGAAGCGACGTAGTGAGAGTGACTGCAAGTGAGGACGTACCTTAGCACAGTTATCAGACTATTTCAGGAAACTATAATCTTATCTCATATTACTTAACGAACTTAGCCTCACACATCGTCCACGTGTTGCGTTTTCTTACGACGGTAATTTTTTAGTCAATTCTTGCCGAGACAATGTTTTTTGAATGCTTGACTGACATAGCGTTATGAATAGTGCGTAAAACTATATCCATACTTAAACACCCTGGAGGTGCAATAGAAACACATTTCGACCGTCGAATATGATATTGCACCCCTGAGCGACTTGATTTGTGATTTGTGTATATTCAGCGCTATGAAAGTTCGACTGTTTCTGTTGTAGCGCGTTATACACGTTGTAGATTTGCACACGTGTCACTGACTATACATATGACCAATGACGACGCGATAGTGGTCACTTTCATATCAGTTTCTCATCCTGAACAAAGACATAGAAACACCACTGCGAAGAGAAGAAATGTGTTTACAAACTGTGTCCATGCGAGGAACTCTGGACGTCTGGACAACACAATACATTGAAGTTCGTTTGCTTAACGCCTCAATATTCCAGCTATATGGCTGGGCTGGACAATCCGGTGATTGATATTGTTAACAACGATCCATGTCGATAGGGTACGATGACATGCAAACATCCATGTAACCGAGCATGACCAAACGATCCCTTTGATGACCTCTTACGACTAGAGTAGGTTATTGACATCATCCCGATTCAAGGGCATTAACTTACCCACTGGGAACTGGACTTTTTAGTATAGTCAGTCAACGCCCTTGCCTTGAGGTAATGGCTATTGGGAACCTATGTTTTTCCTACGTGTATGCATTTAAGTGAGTGAGTTGGGTTTAACGCCGCTTTTAACAGTATTCCAGTTATATCGCGGCGTGTCAGCTTAATGTGGAAGGAAGTGATGCAGGTCTCTGACGTTTACCACTTCGGTTAAACCCACGAGCATGGGTATGGTGCTGACAAACCTAGAAACATAATCCGGGCGAACCGGGATTCGAACCCACAATCATAGGTTTTTGGCGTGCCCAAGGGACGCAACTCTGCACAGCGAATCGCGGTGCCTTAGACCACTGGGCCATCCGTGCCCCCTTATGCATTTAAGAGTTCAGGAAGTTGGATGTGGTGGGTGTAGGAGAGGATAGACTCTCTGCTTGCGTAGTGAGTGAGTAAGTGAGTGAGTGAGTGAGTGAGTAAAACACCTACAATCATTCAAAACATATGTTAACATCGCATAACAGATATATCCATTGTCCAACAGATTAGATCACCCAAATAAAGACATAAAGACCTTCGTAACAGCTACACACACCCTTCGTAACAGATATAAACACCTTCGTAACAGATATTAACCCCTTTGTAATAGACATAAACACCCTTATTAACAGATGTAAACACCCTTCGTAACAGATATAAACGCCTTCGTAACCGATATAAACTTCCTTCGTAACAGATATAAACACCTTCGTAACCGATATAAACTTCCTTCGTAACAGATATAAGCACCCTTCGTAACAGATATAAGCACCCTTCGTAACAGATATAAACACCCTTCGTAACCGATATAAACTTCCTTCGTAACAGATATAAACACCTTCGTAACCGATATAAACTTCCTTCGTAACAGATATAAGCACCCTTCGTAACAGATATAAGCACCCTTCGTAACCGATATAAACACCCTTCGTAACCGATATAAACTTCCTTCGTAACAGATATAAGCACCCTTCGTAACCGATATAAACACCCTTCGTAACCGATATAAACTTCCTTCGTAACAGATATAAGCACCCTTCCTAACAGATATAAACACCTTTCGTAACAAACACCCTATATCAGACACCAAACACAAACCATCAGCTGTGACCCTTCCATAACAGAATTTGACACCCTCCACAACAGATATAACAATCCTTCAAAACAAATATTTTGTTTAAAAACAAGATAAAACACCTTCGATAACAAATATAAACGCACGCACGCACGCACACTAACGAGTTTAATACCCTCCCCATTATGTAAAAATAACCTTTGTCATATAACAGATAATACATCCTCAAGAACAGACACACGTTAATAATTCTAGGGGCATCAGACAAGGAGTTTCTACGGACAACGATATCACCCTTCACTCGAATCTGCAAGTAAATATTGAATTTGATCAAGACCGCCGGACCAAGTTTTGCACATAAACAAACTACTACAACCACGGCCCTAGCAGTGCCCTAGTAGAACTAAACATTATTATATGTAATTCTACAATTGCTGTCAAGGTTGCTTCACACATCACGACCGCCGGAAGTTGTCATGTATTCCGGCGTACATCGCGACAAAGTGAGGCTTTTTCGGGTTTAACACAAAACCTAACTTCCTGTAAATGTCTGCGGCCTTGGTGTAAAGTTTGACGTCAGTGGTATCTACGTTATCATATTTTATGAAAATATCAACATACTTACTTCAATATATCACTTTGTTCAAATTCACGTTTACGGCAGAGGCAGGACCCAACAAACTTTATCCCATTCTGATCTGTCATTATTGTTTTCTTTCTTTTTCGGAAGTATCCATGCAGCCCGCAGCCAAGACGTTCCAAATGTATACCTCATGTATTAAGATTTAAAAATAAAATACGTTAACGGTTCATACAAGTTTCTGACCCCTGTCCGCGCAAGGTTTACTTGGGCTTTTATATTATCCGTATTTTTTAACCAAGAACAGGTAATTTTAGCCTGCTTTCTCAAAAATGAAGTGCAAACTGCACGCCGCACGATCCCTTGTGTATGTGTGCGTGCGTGCGTGCGTGCGTGCGTGCGTGCGTGCGTGCGTGCGTGCGTGTGTCTGTGTGTTTTGAGAAAATAAAACATATACTTTTTTTGTTTTGATGTGTTTGTTAATGAATTGTAAAGAAATAAATTGCACAACCTGGTCTTTAAAGGAACTTGGTCTTTAAAGGAATGAATTCTTCGAAATAAATGTGGTGCGGCAAGCGAGTGATTTACTAGAGCTTTCAAGCAAATCAACATGTCTATAGCTATGTGCGGCGATTAAGACCAAAAACACATTTTGGGAACGCGTGACAGTTGTTTAAGAGAACGAACGAGTAACTGTAAAATCGCCGAGCAAATCACACGTCCACAAATGATACGGTGCAGCTTCGAGCCCTAGTGGCGACATATGTTTCCCGGCAAAGTTTGAAATCATTCTCTTGAGTGTTAAAATAAATAAAAATAATGCCAAGACTACAAAAATTGAAATGTGGGTTCAAGATCGTGTAGGCATCACGAAATGACAACCAAACTGTTCACTTGTGTAAAATAAAGAATCGTTTAAACAGGAGTGTAACGTCACAGACTTTATTTAATCATAAAAAACATAATATTATTTGACAGAATATAATTATCAGTTCAAATAAGTCCAGGTTTTCTGGTAGCAACAAGATTTATACGTGTGCAGATATGTTGCAGATTATCGATTTTCCAATTTTTTTTACGTTTAGTGTCAGCGTGTATCGACGTACTCAACAACCCCGCTGAAATCACGCGGCGGGCGCTTAATCCAAACGCCACCGTACCAGGCCTACCAAGCAGAAAAAATAACGTGTGTTCAAAAACAGAAATGTGTATTTTGCACAATAAAATATCGACTGGCAGAAATAGGAGTAGATTTTGCACACTAAAACTGTTGGGTGGGTTGAGTCGGATTGATGATGAGAAAACGAATATTATTTTTCTTTGGTAGGCCTGCGTTGCGCGATGACTATCGTAAAGTGTTACGGCAGTTTTGATCACCATGGTCGCTTTGTGAACCGATGGCATTTACACTGTGACGTCATGTCGCCTCAATTTGCATGTGGTCTAGTGGTACAACGTCCGCGAGGAGAGCGGAAGGTCGTGGGTTCGATTCCTGGCCGCGTCATACCAAAAGACGTTAAAAGATGGTACTTGTTGTTACCCTGTCTGGCGCTTGGCATTGAAGGGACTAAAACAAGGACTGGTCGACTCGGAGTTAGTATACTTCGTCTGAGTGGGGTATTCATGTTAAACTGCGGCATGGTCTAGCACACACACACACACACACACACACACACACACACACACACACACACACACACACACACACACACACACGCACGCACGCATGCACACACACACACACGTGCATACACGTAGCTATATAAATGCAATTATCTCGAACGCGACGTAAATTGAAATATATCTGAGTTTCCCCTGTAGATGTTGAGCAACAACTACATCATGAACTGTGCACGATTGAGTAATAAATTAAAAAATGTTCTTGAAATTCAGTAGGTGGTAAGTGGTGTTCATGAAGTGTACCTTTAATTTAATTGGTTTTTAATTTTTATAAATACGGACCTCAAATTTATGACACATAAGCGAGAGACAGGCCATTATTTACCAAATATCCTCATCAGATAGCAACAACGTCAGTAATCATATGACTTCACCGATCTCGGTTGTGGAAACAAACGGGTTAAAGTGCACTCTCATCAAATACAACCAGGAGTCCCTGGTGCACTAGTGTTATCGGTGCCTGTTGACGTGGTAGATACTCACGGGACTGGGCTCCGACTTTAAGTGTCGGCAACAGGTTAGTCATATCAGTTGCGGGGGTTAATTAATGAATGCGATGAAACGTTTTAACAGGCACGACTCAGCTAGGTTCGTGAACCTGCGCGTACAACTGTATGCTGCAACCAACGTCATCATTCTCGAACTACACTTCTTCTACGACAATACATCGCTCCCCACTGCTTAGCCTCGCTACCATTCAGGTCGCCATCGAGCCTCAATTTCATAAACTGCATTGATGCTACTACCACGTCTGCTACGGCTGCTGCTGCCACTATCCCTGCTATTACTACTGCTGATGCTACTACTCTCCCTTCTACTACTGCTGCTACTACTATCCCTAGGCCTGCTATTACTACTACTGATACTGGTGTTGATGACCCTACTTCCCCTTGTAATAGTGCTACTACTACCAACATTTCTCCTTCTACAACAACTTTTACTCCCACCACAACGATAACAACTACGGCAGTGGTTACGACTAATGCTGCCACTGATGTTGCTGCAACTTCTAGTCCTACTGTTCCAACCTCTACCTCCACGAGTTCTTTCCCTGAATGAAACATGACACATTATTATTATTAATATTATCATACGTACCATTGACGTCAAGGCTTTGAAACATTCCTTTCACAAACGCCTGTCCGTCGTGGTGGGAATTCTTCTGTCGACACATCAGCAGTGTCAGTACGCAGTACTCGGCTTCATGGCGTTTGCATTTAAGGAAGGAGCGATCCCCTGAAACAGAGGATACAGATATAGTGAGTGAGTGAGTGAGTTAGTATGGTTTTACGCCGCTTTTAGCAATATTCCAGCAATATCACGGCGGGGGACACCAGAAATGGGCTTCTCAGTTTGTGCCCATGTCGGGAATCGAACCCGGGTCTTCGGCGTGAGGAGCGAACGCTTTAACCACTAGGCTACCCGACCGCCCCGATACATATACAAGTAAAAGCATACAAAAAGCACTGATCGAGCAAACCGAACGCTGATTCAAGGCGCTGCTATCTCATAAAAGGGTTATACAATCGTGCTATTTTTGTTTGTTTGTTTTCTAAGTAGAAGGGTAATTGTGATGTATTTATGTCACGTGTTAGTTTAGGTCTTCCAGCCTTTGTGTATCCCTCGTTGGCTTCCTTAAAATTGTTATCAACTACGGGCATATCGAAGTCGGATATGACAAACAGTCGGTGAAAACCCATGTCATTTGGAAATTAGTTTTAATGTTTACGGGGAGAACGAATATCTGATATAACAAATATTGTTTGAGAGTCCTTACACCTGGAGTTGTTTCTTATTTCAGTGAGTGAGTGAGTGAGTGAGTGAGTGAGTGAGTGAGTGAGTGAGTGAGTGAGTGAGTGAGTGAGTGAGTGAGTGAATGAGTGAGTGAGTGAGTGGGTAAGTTGGGTTTATCGATGCTTTGAACAGTAGTTTAGCTTGATTGTCAGCTTGATTTGTTTTGTATGCATTCCGCATATTCCAGATGTATGACAGCGGATTGTAAATAATCGAATCTGGATCAGGCAATCCATTGATCGATACTCAAAAGGAATAGAGGTGAATGGAACAAGCAGCTATGCTGATCGTAAGAGGTGACGAAGAAGCCAGGCGGAAAACAACAACAAAAAGTAAACTTAAACGTTTTAGGATGGTTGGCGTTCCGCTTCTTCTGGCGTTGTTGCACGTGGAATTTATACTTAGCTTACCGGAACCACGTGCGACCCTGCCTCCCTACCGTTGTTATCGATTAAACAGATTGGTGGCTTCAAATGTCATGTCGTGATTTTTTTAAAGTTGTTGCAGGAGAAGTTTCTTTTTAGAAAGATGGCGCTGTTGACTGGAAGAAGTCTCCCCACGCTGCACTAACGGTGTCGGGAGAAACACTGCCGGCTACCTATGTGTTCCTCAGTAGAGTCTGTACACTACAAGGCAACGCTGTCTGTTTCACTGGCTATATTTACAAAAGTCAGTTAAGGACGTTGACGATAATAACAACGTTATCGAGCCATGCATGAATCCATCAGTCTTATCTGGAGCGTAGCGCCAACCAGCAGACTGACGGGCAGTTTAGTACTAGCGAAAGTCTTGGAACCTTTCACAACCTACCTGCCAAGACTTGGGTGAAAGTGTATTCACAGATGGTGAGCCCTATTTCCTTGACCTGCTTAATAGATTTGTTTAATAAACTGTAGGCTCGGTGGTTGAAATGAAATTAGATTTCCATAAAATATTGAAATTCATCTTTTTTCAAGTCTGTCAGATGAAAATTAAATAAAAGGAACGTGCTGTCTACTATTCATGCCTACTATCACGCTTACTGATTGCAAAGTCATAGTAACACCTTTGCTTTTTTCTTAAATATTCTATATATGTACGATAATAATAATAACAAGAGTTTTCCACTAACGTGGCTATATCCCCCGCCCCTGTTGCAGAATTTATGACATAATTAAATCTAAACAAACCCTAACCTTTTTAAACCGAGGTGGAACTTGTCATGGAAATTGTAAAAAAAGAAGAGTTTGGAACCTAAGTCCATCTTGTTGCCATGGACACGTAAAACAATAAAAATTTCTAAAATTTCTAAATAGCAAAAGGCACCAGTTCAGCATGTACCTGACAGACCTGCAAAGTTTGATGAAAAAATATTGAACGGTTTATGAGTTATGCTCCGGAAACGAAACGTGACGGACGGACGAAGCCCGTTTCTATTTCCCCCGCAAACTTTGTTGGGCGGGGGATAATAATAATAATAATAAGAAGAAGAAGAAGAAGAAGAAGAAGATTGTCAGAAGGGGTGTATTCAACCACCGTATGTCTGACGCCGAAGACCCGAGTTCGATTCCCAACAAGGGTACATTGTGTGAAGCCCATTACTGGTGCCCCCGCCGTGATATTGCTGGAATAAGATAAAAACGCGCTGTAAAACCACACCCTTTCACTCACTGTGTCAAAGTATAGGAATTACGATCGCCATGGCGCCCAGATCACCAGGAAGAGAGAGGCCATATTTCACGGTGTATCATCGTACCATGACGACGTGGATCGTGGCTGATGCCGTCCACTAACACGGGGCTGATCATGACATCCCTCCAAGCTATAACCACCCTTCATCCCTGGACAGGTCCCCCCTCCCCATCTTCCTCCTGGCGTTGATTGGGATTAATTGGTTTGTTGACCCAGGTTATATCCGGCAAGTAGCCAGAAGGCCTTCCTCCCACCGCGTCCCAGTCGACTTCCTTCTCTATAGAAGGGGCTGGCCGTGAACTTTGCCGTGTAGCTGTAGGACTTTGCAGACCTTGGTGGTCGGTAACTCTTCAATTTTGGCCGTGTGATGATGATTTGCAATCCTTTGAAGCGAACTGACAGAATATATGACAACCACCAATAACAAAATGTTTCATTCCTCCGAGCTAGTCTGGATTGTCACGTTTGCTGATGATGTGTGTGTGGTACCTACGTTACGTGTTACGGGGGAGTTAGATTGGTGATTTCGGGCTCTATGACATTTGTTTGTTTGTGTCACTTAACCGAATTCTGGGATTACGCTGCGACCTTGCACGAAATACAAATTCAAACGAACCTTGTGAAATTTATCCATATGTGGAACTGAACACGGAATTCGTCCGCAAAGCAACGAACTCTCCAAACATTGTGCTACTCCATGTCTGGTCACTATATTAACGGATATTCACCCCATGATTTATCGCCATGACAGTTATAGAGAGTATACAGCAGCTGTCCGTGACAGGTTTTTTTATTTGAACGCTGGTATGACCATATTTGTCACAGGCGACTCAGGCCGCCTCCTGCGAAAGATGACTTTCTTCCATCTGACATCAATGGTATAAATTGCTGCTACAGCTGTTTGAAGTCGCCTGTTTCCGGGAATTCATAAGTTAGATGAACTTGAGATGAGAGACTTGTGTAATGTTGGAAATGTATGATATATATAAGTGATATGGATTAGGTCACAACTACTTTATTATTTGTGTAATGTTTGAAATAAACGGTTGTACTTGCGATGTGCATTATGGATGTGTGTTTACTTTCATTATTTGAATTGTCTCCCGCGTTGGGATTCGAACCCGGGTCTTTAACGAGAGAACAGTTTGCCGCTACACCAAAACTCCAGTTAAATTAACCATCCTTATTTTTCATTTGAATAGAAATATTTGTAATAACGGTATGAATTAGCTTCAACATGGATACGCAGTTTAACATGAATACCCCACTCAGACACAGTATACTGACTCAGAGCTGACGAGTCCTTCTTTTAGCCCCTTAATGCCGAGCGCAAGGCAGTACCATATTTTAACATCTTTAAAATACCGGGGATAGAACCGACAACCTTTCGCGCTCCGGGAAGACGCTCTATCCACTAAGCCACGGAGGCGGTCGTGCGTAAATATGGCTTAAAGTAGTGAAAAGGATTAGGACCCGTGAAGATCCGGGTTAGAACTGGTCTCCATCAACCCGTGCTTGTCGTAAGAGGCGACTAACGGGATCGGGTGGTCAGGCTCGCCGTCTTGGTTGATGCATGTAATCGTTTCCTATTTGCGTGGATCGATGCACATGCCAATCACTGGGTTGTCAGGTCCAGACTCCAGACTATTTAAAGACCACCGTCATATATGGAATATTGCGAAAACGAAAAGGTTAGATGTTTTCGGATTGTAAATAGAGAAAGAGAAATCCCTATGAGCAAGTCCGTGACCCGAAGTTCTTCACATACCCGTGTACTGTCTTCATCTACATCTGCTAAGTAATTCAACTTCATCAAGGACATGCTCATTATGGAACAGTGAGAAAAGCTTCCTGAAAACCTAAAATCAGCCGTACTGACTACATATGTCAGCCTTACCCCTTACCCCATGTGAAAGGTTTAAAAGGGTCAAATTCTCACACACAATGAGATAACATTGATAAGGCGCTCTCAAACGGTTGCACACTTCTTAAATAATGCAGATCCCTTTGGGCTTAAAGGGTCCTCATGGACATGTGTTAAGCCTTTTGAAGATATAAGGGCTGCTGACAGATGATACGGGAGTGTCTGGATTAACGAGGTTGCACTGTAGAAATATTTTCTGACCAATTCTTCGTGAAGATAGAAATCGGGGTAGAAAATACAAATACTTCCCGAAAACTCCCAACTCGTAGTGCTAGACACATGTTCACCTTATCACATCATCTGATTTTGTTGTGAACCCAAAACATGCATATAGTAAGAAGAAAAATGGATAATTATCATTCATTTGAACACGGTCATAACTTCGACAACGATTTCTAAAAGTGGACACATTTCTTAAATAATGCAGATGAACGGTAAAAAAATGCCTCGTCCCACGCCGTTGTTTATGACAAAAGGGGAAGCGGTTCCAGTGGACCATTACTCACTTTGTTGTGGCCTCAGTAAGAAAAGAATGTATCCCGTCTGATCACCGAGACAAAAGACGGGGAAATCTCGGAGAGGGAGAGATAGAGAGACTGATAAAAGGAGGAAGTTATGAACGAGAGAGGGAGGTTATCGACTGGCTGGGAGGTGCCGTGGAAAGTGTTGAACTAAACAGCTTGTCGCTAAAGCCGGAAGTGCTGGGGGAGAATGCAACTGTGAAATGTAGTTCCTAAAAGCTCTAATTTCCAAGAATACTTGACGTGAATGCAGGTGTGTAATTTGTAATAAAAAACCCAGCATGAATATATATCTCAAGTAGCCTCTGTGAGTCTGGTTTTTACAA